GACAACTAGAACCTTGGGGTTAACCTGGCAACCTCGCAACGATGTGTTCCTGACCAAGCTTCACGAGATTCAGTTCCACAACGGGCAACCAACGAAACGGTCCGTTTATTCGGATACTGCAAGACTGTACGATCCACTGGGCTTGCTTGGCCCACTGATCTTTGCTGCTAAAGTTCGACTACAAAAGCTATGACAGCTTGAAGTGCAATGGGATGAGATCTTGGGCACCGAAGAAGCTGAAACGTTGGAGTCTTTCCGGAACCAAATCATCAACATGGGCGAAATTTCAGTTCCACGTTGCGTACTACCACATGCATCACCACGATTGGTTGAGCTGCATGGCTTCTGCGATGCTTCCGACTTGGGTTATGGAGCATGTGCATATATTCGCTCGGTGGGCAGCAACGACGAGTGCTCTATCCTATTGCTTACCTCTAAGTCTCGAGTCGCACCCCTCAAAAACGCTAAACTGACTACCGCACGCCTTGAACTATGCGGTGCGCTTGTACTTGCACGAACATAACGCACAATTTAAACATTGCCTTTTCCAGAATCACTCTCTGGTCTGATTCTACCACAGCTTTGACTTGGATCAGGACCGACCCAGGCAGACTGAAAACCTTCTACTGTAATCGGGTCATTGAAATCCAAAATTTGACCCATGATAAGGAATGGAGGTACGTCAACACGCTCGACAACCCTGCAGATGTACTTTCGCGTGGCCTCCAACCTAGTGAGATGCAACAGTGTGATCAATGGTGGACAGGACCACCATTCCTGCGCAAGATCGATTCACCTTGGCCAAGCCAACCGCAACCCACACCCGCAGAGCAACTCCCGGAAACGAAAAATCTAACAGTAAACCTCACAGTCACTGATCCTCCTGTATCGTTCATCCTGTTCGAGATCGAGAGCAAGTTCCGGAAAATGCAACGAACAATGGCATGGATACTACGATTCATCGACCACATTCGAATAGGAAATCGAAAGGAGCACCGATGCGGAGAATTGACTTTCCAAGAACTTCAACAATCAACATTGGCCCTCACCAGCATCGCTCAACGAGAAACCTTCTCCGATGAAATCAACCACCTGAAATGTGGAAAGGTAATTCACAGTAAAAGCAAATTAATCTCGATTTCTGTGTTCCTAGACCAATCTCACTTTGCCGTCCTACGGGTCGGTGGAAGAATTCGTCACGCCGCTCTTCCCGTGGATCAGAAACATCCCATGGTACTTCCATCTGGTCACCCGTTCACGCTAGCTTTGGTCCGATCGTATCACATCGAACTCATACACGCTCCACCACAAATGCTTCTTGCAACGATGCGACGTCGCTATTGGATTCTTCACGGTCGCAGTACTGTTCGCAGCGTCATCCGAAAGTGTGTCACTTGCTTCAGGGTGAAGCCGACGGTGATGCAGCAAATGATGGGCGACCTACCCAGATCCCGTTTGGAAGGAGTCTACCCTTTTCTTAACGCGGGCGTCGACTTTTGTGGACCGATCTACATTCGCCAGCACAACAAGCGATCGACCGTCACCTACAAAGCGTATGTAGCAGTTTTTGTATGTTTCGCTACACTAGCGATTCACTTGGAGCTAGTGGGTGATCTGACTGCTGATGCCTTTATTGCGGTCCTACAACGCTTCGTCTCTCGAAGAGGTAAATGTGCAAAACTGTTTTCCGATAACGGCCTTAATTTCGTCGGTAGCAAAAACAAGTTGAGGGAAATGTACGACACGTTCCAGTCCCAGCAACTCAAAATCAAACTGGACGATTTCTGCACGAAGTCCGCTATCGAATGGCACCTGATCCCACCTCACGCCCCGCACTTCGGTGGACTGTGGGAGGCCGACGTGCGATCTGCCAAATACCACCTGAAGCGCATTACTGGAACTGCCAACATGAACTTCGAAGAGTACACAACCGTTCTTGCCCGCATCGAAGCCCTGCTAAACTCAAGGCCTATCACTGCGCTATCGGAAGATCCTAATGATGCCAGTCCTCTCACCCCTGGACACTTCTTGGTGGGACGTCCACTGACTGATATCGCCGAACCAGACCTTTCGGACCGAAAGGAAACAACACTGTCGCGCTGGCAGCGGCAGACCCAGATGGTACAACACTTTTGGGCTCGCTGGTCGCAAGACTATATCACGACGCTGCAGAACCGGAACAAATGGCACAAACCCGTACCTGTGAAGCCGGGCCAAAAGGTGATCATCCGATAAGACAATTTGCCGACGATGAAATGGAAACTTGGGAGAATCGAGGACGTATTCCCTGGTCAAGACGGACTGGTGCGAGTAACAAACGTGCGAACTGGAAGTAAGGTGATCCGACGACCGATTGCCAAGCTGTGTTACTGCCGATCGACGACAACAATGTGCATCCCGATGATGAGCTCCACGCAGACGACGACGACGACTAAGAACGAATAGATTGAAATCATTCTATTTCAATGGGAGCAGCATGTTCAGTACAAAACGACTAGAATAGCTAGGAAGAAGGTTCGATGTTTTGTGTAGAGTTTCTCTTGATGTCTTTTGTTATCTGTCCTTGTAATCATTTGTGTTAGTGTAGAGAAGAGATCATTTTTACAGTCTGACCCGAACACAGACTCTCTAGGGCAAGCTAGGTAAGGAGGGTGAATAAACTGCCAACTAGGCTTTTGACCACCGCACGATACGGTCGTTTCTGTGTAGTCCACGCGTTTAATTTATAGTTCGTCCGAGTGATCCGAATTCCCCCGTTTTCTGTGGCCATATTCCACGCCGCGTATGCAGCTTATCGAAGAGCGAACAAGAGTAAAAAACGAGCAAAGGTCAATTTTGAGGAAGGCACGAATTGGGTTGATCATCTCCTTTACCAAACTCTCCTGTTAGGGAGGAATGGTGAGGGGTATCTCAGCTCACCACCACTGGCAACACCCAACAGGGGAGTTTGGTAAAAGAAATGATTAACCCGATTCGTGCCTTTCCCAAAATTGCCCTTTATTCGCTTTCTACTCTCTATAGACAATTTTCACACTGTCGTACTATAAAGTAACTATCATCTCCTCATCTATCTTATAAAATTACTTATATTTGTCGTTAATCTTCAACTATATAAATCGTTAAATTCACGCATGGAATAATAAAAAACATAATTAGTTATAGTATGTCTAATCTATTGCACCTATACGTGGTATTTATATACAGATGATTTACTACACAATATACATAGCTAATGAATGCAGTCCAGCTTTAAAAATAAAATAATTAAAGCTTTTTCCAGAATATATCCTATGATTGAACGTTGTCCCCAATTTCATGTCACCTTGATCAGTAGAAGATTATGAAGCATTATGAAGATGAAGATATTTCACTCCTTATGCTATTAGTGATGGTTATGCCCGGAAATCAAAGGTCGAATGTTTCTTCTGGCCACAAATTTGTTTACCTTAGCGCCATTTTAATATTGTACATGTGGCGATATATTAAACAAATTGCGACTACTGAGCTCAAAATTCAAGACAACATCACTGCCGGAAATAGGGACCCAGTCTAAGTAAAAAATCTTCAATATTTCTATGTATTAAAAATTTCAAAAGAAGTACGTACTGAAGTCAAGAAAATTGTAATTTTTGTAAATGTTGGTCATCGACATTTTTTCTAATTAGATACATCAAATTTAGCACAAATGCAGGACGAATGATCCAGTTGTCCTTTTGGTTTCCAGATTTTTGGTATTCTGATTTTTCCAATGCTTGGTTCATGAGGTATTAATTTTCAGTTTGATATAGTTTCGGGAAGTGTTTTGTGGTTTAAAAATCGAGTGAAATTGATATCTATATTTTTATTGCCGAAAACAACTACTATTTGTTGAAGCCACTCAGTGCCCAACCTTCGAGCCGAACGAGTCTTTCAATAGCAGGATAATCCTTGACATACAAAAGTATTTGAATATTTTTTGAGCAAGCGTGGCATCAGTAATTTCTATTCCCACTCAATAAGTTAATTAAAATCAAATGCAAATCGACTGAAATGCATCTCCCTCTCTCTAAGCTGGTGTAACAGGTCTTAAAACCAACCATCACGCTTTCCAAATGGACACGTGCCACCTCCAAAACCGCACCTGCAAGTACGCAGTAAATCAACCGCCATTACCCTCTTTCTTTGAGCAGAACGTCTCAAACCATCAGTTAACAAATCTTTCAGAATCCAACAGGCATCAGCGTTTATCCGATTGCCTGATTTTATTCTCGTTTTACAGTATGACAGTATAGGTCCCATTATCCCCATAAAACGACGATATATCAGTGGCACGTGGCCACTGGAAAACAGTATCCGACTGTGTGTCAGTGCTATGTTTTTTTCGACGGAGGAAGTATGAGGGCCATATCATTCACCAGTGTGTCTCATTTTCTCCGTTTTGAGAGGAAATGATTCTGATATGGATCTGCGCGTGGAAATGGCATAGATGATATTTGACGGATGCAAGCTGTGGACGTGGAACTGTTAGGGGGTGACGAGTTGACACAGTGCTTTCACTCACTGGAAACGGAAAATTATGGTTACTAGCAGTTTCCCGGAGGAAAATTGGTACAGTACCAGTTGAAAGCACTGGTGAATTGTTAAATAGCATATGCTAATTAGTTTTTCAATTTGCATTTGTGTATGATCTGCTCTCGGCAGAATACAACGCTACTGTTTGAATTAAATTTATTCAATCAAACATGTAACGTAATTCGAAACCAGTCCCTCACAATGCAATCGACACGTTCAAATTGATTAAATCAAAACACCCGCCGGGAATCACTCATCCAGCGAGAAAAGTTCACTCCCAGGTCAGAATCGCACAATCGGATAGTTTTAATTAGTAAACCCATTCAGCCTCCAACGTGGACGTGTTTGGAATACCAACCGAAGCGATAATTAATTTCCAACGAAAACATTCCTCATACTAATATACAGTTGGGTACATATAGCAAATCGATCATAGTAATGGTACTCACCTGAATCAACTCCTGGATGCTATCGCACTGATCCAACACTACCACCGTATCACTATTGTTAACCTGCTGCTGCTGCTGTTGCTGCTGTTGTCTTTGCTGTTGTTCAACGGCGAGGATTTGATTCTGAATGGTTTGTCCGGTTGCATCCGGCGGTGTAGCCGGGCTGAGGAAACCACTATCGGCGTCGCTGTGATTCGACAGTGGACGCTGCTTCCGTAGACGATTGAAGAGGGGCGTCGAGTCGAGGGAGGCATTGCGATATGGGACACTGTGCTTGCTGATTGCTCCGGTGTATGGTTTCTGGAGATGGGGCAGTGAGACACTTGATTTGAGGGGATCGAAGGAGAGGAAGGGGAAAAAATTAACCTTGCTGGCGGGCGGGTCTGATTTAATTTTCGTCGCCCTGTGTGATGTCGGGCGGTTCGATGATGCGGGCGCCGGAGGTGGAGGACTGCAGGAAGATGGTCCTTCCGAACAAATTGTGCCATGGGCTGAGGAGGACGGTTCGTTGGAGGATGAATCGGTTGTCTTGGCAGAACTGGAGGGTGGTGATGAGGACGATGATTCATCACTTTTTCGCTGCTGAAGCAGGGGTGAATTCGGAAGGGAGGCTGACTGTTGACGGTGGAGTCGTTCGAACTGAGTGACAGCTGACTTCGTTACCACGCCGTAGTACGAGGACTCCTGCTGGTCACCGTTGATTGAACCGGAAATCGATTTCGGTACCACCTTAAGCTGGTCTATCAATCGATTCCTAAAACCGTAATCACTTTCGTCCGTGGATTCCAGATTGGACGAAGGGGTCTCGATTACTGAGTTAACCATGGACGGGTAGTCGGGACTGGATCCACTGGAAGACGAAGACGTTCTGGTTTTGTTGAAGATTTCGTCAATTTTCTCTTCAACTTTCTCCAAAGACAGACGATTCCTGGCTTCCACGTCGTATGATTCCGGTTCAATTGTAAAGTAGTTATCGGAATCGCGATCCACCGCGTCGTAGATCAAAGGGTTTTGATACAGCATTGGGTCGGCCAGTTCCACCGTTTCCGGAATCGTTCTCATCTTGTGTTCTTTCTCGTTGAAGAAATCAACCGACGGGTCAAACAGGCAATAGTTCTCCAAATGAGGAACCGCACCCTTCCTCTGCCGGACGGGAAGATTTTTCAACAGCAAAGACGAAAACTCCGGCTTCGTTAGGATATCGTCTGGTGATTGCTGTCTACCTTCAACGCCAACAACATCCGGAGCTGGTGGCGGTGAAGGAGGTGTTGGTGCCGGTAGAGCAGGCAGTTCAACTGCTCCTTTGGAAGACATTTTACTCATTTTCGGCGAAGGTGGCAGTGTCACATAATTATTGCTTTTCTTCTCCCCCAGCCCCGTGGAAGACGATATCAGCTTACTGAGGCTGCCGAATCCCTTGAGTTTGGACTTTGCCGCCGGTATGACGTCTTCATTCCTGCTGACAGGTTCCATTGAAATTAGATCCTGTTGGATGACTTCCAACACCACCTTGCCAGTCGTCGTTGAGGACGGAGGTGGAGGAGGAGGCTCTCTGTAGGGTGGCAACGGTGGTGGGGCAGGTAGATTTACTTGATCCGCGTCTGACAGGGCAGAACTGTTTCCCCCCAGCGGAAAATCCCGATAAAGTTCTTTAAACTGTACGCCCGTGTCACTGAGGGATTGCTGTCTGGAGCGTACAATCGCTTTTACCGTGCTCGACTTGATTGGGGCTCCTTCCACCACCGAGAGGCCAGGGATGAAAGAAACTTTTTTCAGGCTACGGCCAACGCCTTCCCCACTGACGGTTGATTGTTTGACTAGCTTTTTAGGAGGGATTATGTTGTTTTTAAGTTTTTGCTGCTGAGACGTGGCTTTATTGTCGCTCGTTGTTTTCGTCAGTAGATTGGATGTTTTCTGAAAGACGGATATTTTAGAACCTGCCGGGGGACTCTTTACTTTTTTACTGCCCGCCGCACTGTCATCAACCTTCTGTCGAAGCACCGCAATTTTGGACTGTTTCGCACTCTTCATGTTTCCTCGATTAGAAAGACTCGCTCCCAGCTCGTCGTCTCCACCTCCACCGATCGCATTAGGCTGCTCGCTTTTACAACCGTCATCGCCGTTCCGCTTCTGGAACACAAATCCACGTTCAATATCGTCTGGTGGCGACCCTTCTTTGGACCCCTGTGAACAGGGCCGTCGCTTTACGGTTCCTGTTCTGGTGTTCGCCAAGTCTGCCCAATCTGAGCTGGAGGCTTTGTTCGGAGGCGTTGGAAGGGTCTTTGGTGGACTCCTGCTACTCGGTATCATCTGACGGGGTGACGATGGCGGGACAACATTTCATTAGCACGTGTGCTCCGGGGGACTTTTTCTACGGATTCGCACTCGGCACTTTCACTAAGGGAGCAATCCTGTGCAGGTGGGAATGAAATTTAAATATTTAGAGGGTGCATGTTGCTTAAGGGTAAGGGAGCAGGAACATCCTGTTTGTAGTTGAAAATGTTTACTTTTCGTGTTATTTGGTTCAGCGGGGATTAAATCTGGGTTTGATGATGCGATTCACAAAATAGATTGGCACTTTGTAAGGTTTGCTTGAGACTAAGACTACCGTTAACTTTGATACTGCTTGATGATTCCCCTTACTCGAATGTTGTTGTTGTTGTTGTTAGGTGGCTCTCAATATGCAGAATATGTCTATTCATTGGATTAATTCAAACTCAATGAAAAGTATTTTAACGGACGCTCAACCTTGAAATCACTAAGAAATCTTTATGCCCCGCAGTTTTCCACAAACCACCCCAGAATGACAATTACTTTTTGGTGGTTTAACGAGCTTTTCCAAACTGTAATTGAACAAACTTTCTTCCCCATCACCACAATGTAGACTAGCCTCTGCGGAGACTGCCGCAATCAATTGTTATTCAAAGCATAATCAACTTTCACTCTCTGTCAACTTCGACAGCACGAGGACAGCGACGCTTCATTCTGTAATCATTGCCCACAGTTGGAAAACTCAGTTTCTGTCCCTGCTGATGGTTGCACAAAACGGAATAACATTATCTGGGTACTTTCTTTGCAGATTGTTTCTCGTTGATACGACGCTCACGTAATGTATAAAGTTTTGTCAGGATGTTTCCACGCTGTCCTTTTCCCGTTCCGCGCATTGTCTTCTACCGGGGACTCATAGATTGACCCGTTTAATGCTACTAATGAATTTTGCGATAAACATAGTTTCAAAACCTACTTATGACTCGGTAATTTTACCCCACTTTTAGTATCAACAAGTTCATTACCATCCACGGAAGCCGGAAAACAATTAAGCCATCGTCGTACAACCGACAAACTTCCGCTTCCGACCGGAGTCAACAGCCATAAACCCTATCGACAGGTGAAAATCTAGCGACAGGTGAAGGAGTAGCCCTTCGTCGTCCGCCCACGCGGAGGCTAGGCAGCAGAAAATGATTTACCGCTCTCTGACGTGCTATCAAACAATTTGAAAGTTCGGGAAAGCTACTTCCGAGTGCAATTTTCAGCCTCCTTCCAAAAGCGGCAGGAGCAACCACCACCTACCTAAATATCATAGTGCGCGCCCGCAGCAGTAGTAGGCGTTGGAGGAAATGAAATATTTAATCATAGCTTGCTAGGTTTACGAGTGGCTTTTATTTTTTTGGCAAGATAACCTCACCTTGGAGCTCTGTTTTTGGCTCATTTCCGTAGAACATCGCTCAAGGTAATTGCTGTGGGAGTCTACATTTCTGCTTGCAGTAAAATCCGGAGTATGGACAAAGAATAAATGGTTGGCGAAAGCGTTGTTTAACCCCGTTTGAACTTGTTCACTTGCTTTCGGTTTGAAACCGGGTAGCGAAACTGACATGCAGTGGCGTCCGGTTTCCTCGAGCCGTAAGGGGGGCAATGAGTGTTTGATAAAAAATAAAACAATATTCGAATTTCGAGTCAAATATTTGACTGTGACAGTGATGTCACAGTGACCTTCAGACTGCTGCAATGGATTTCATATTAGAGCAGTTCCACGCAAAATGACGGATCTTAAAGACTCGACAATCTCCAATATGCAAGAAACTTTGCATACAGTGTCCCTCCGCTTTTTTTTACATTGTTAGGTTGGTAACATTGATTTGTATGGATTTGACAGTCGGATTATCGAAGCGCTCCACAAATTTATTTATTTATTTATTTGAGAGGGAAAAGCCTAGTTCAGAAGGACCAACCTTGCCCCTTCTCAAGTGGGCGGAAAACCTCTTCTTTTCGTATCAACAGATAACATAAAATCCTACAGATACATATATACTGAAACTACGTGAAGTGAAGGAAATGTGTGTGGGTTCAACTTACTTTCCTGGAGATGACGAGGAGATTCATCCAACTGATGTTAAAGACTGTATCTTTTATTGTAAAATGAACAACAAACCGTTTATTATCGGTTGTGATGCAAATGCTCACCATACAGTATGGAGTAGCACTGATGTCAATAATCGGGGTGAGTTTCTTTAAAAATATATTATTAATAACAATATTGATATTTGCAACAAGGGCTGTGACTAATCCTTTATTAATTCAATTAGAAAAGAAGTTCTTGATCTGACTCTATGTGGTGCCAGCTTATCAGAAAACATTAAAAATTGGCAGGTATCGGATGAAATATCCTTGTCTGACCACAGGCAAATATTGTTTGAATATCAGGCAAACGAATTGCAAAAAAGAGATTTTTCGGAATCCCAGGAAAACTAACTGGGATTTATATTGTACAAATTTAACACAAGAAGGTCTACTTCCTGTAGGTAGCTTTACTACAATTCAGGAGCTAGAAGATGCTTCAGTGCAAATAAGCGTAATTCAACAGGCATTTTATGTTAGTTGTCCAGTTACTGAGCATTCAAATGATAGAGACGTATCTTGGTGGAACAAACGCTTACAAAAACTAAGAAAGAAAGTACGAAAATTGTTCAATAAAGCAAAAAATACAATGCAATGGGATCAATATAGAAGTGCTCTAACCGAATGTAATAAAGAAATAAGAAGATCAACAAGAATGGACTGGAGACGTATTTGTGAAAACATTGAAAACACTCCTGTAGTTGCAAGACTGCAAAAAGTCCTTTCCAAAGATCATTCAAATGGCTTAGGAACTCTCAAAAGGGAAAACAATTGCTTTACTTCCGATGGAACTGAAACACTGGAAGTAATGATGCAAACACATTTTCCATGTTCAGTACTCATAATCAAAAACAATTTGCCAACCTTACAGGACAATACTGATCAAATCCTACCAAAGGTAAATGCTCAGGATGAATCTAACATAAATAGATCCAATGCTGGTTTATTAACATCTACATATGTTGGAGAAAGCATAGCTGATGAAGTGTTTACTAGTTCTAAGGTAGAATGGGCCATAAATGCATTTGAACCATTCAAATCTCTTGGCAGGGATGGAATATTTCCTGCCTTTCTTCAGAAAAGTAATGGGATACTTACTTCATCTCTTACAAATATGTTTAAAGCAAGTCTTATGCTTGGGTATATACCGTCATCATGGCGAAAAGTAAAGGGTGATACGGTCAAAATTTGGTCAAGGGAAAACGCGTGTAAATCGGTGAAATCGTTTATTTAAAAAATCAAATTAAATTTCTTTTTCAAGTTCAATTAGTATAAAATTCAGGAAAAATATTCAGTTAGGCTTCCGCTTTTCCAAATCCGAATTGCCGGGCCTTACGCTTGACCCCTACCATCAGATTTTGTACAGCCACCTTGTCCACCTTCTTCGCCGCAGAAAGCCAGTTTGCCTTGAACTGCTGCTCGCCCTTAGCAGTTTTTTTGGTCTTCTTTAGGTTCCGCTTGACAATAGCCCAGTATTTCTCAATTGGGCGGAGCTCTGGCGTGTTGGGAGGGTTCTTGTGCTTGGGAACCACCTGCACGTTGTTGGCGGCGTACCACTCCATGGCCTTTTTACCGTAATGGCAAGATGCCAAATCCGACCAAAACAGTACGGAACAACCGTGTTTCTTCAGGAAAGGCAGCAGACGTTTATTCAAACACTCTTTCACGTAAATTTCTTGGTTGACAGTCCCGGAAGCTATGAAAATGCTGCTTTTCAAGCCACAGGTACAGATGGCTTGCCAAACCAGATATTTCTTTGCGAACTTTGACAGTTTCATGTGCTTGAAAACATCTGCTACCTTTCCCCTTCCTTTTGCCGTATAAAACTCCTGTCCCGGAAGCTGCTTGTAGTCGGCTTTGACGTAGGTTTCGTCGTCCATTACCACGCAGTCAAACTTCGTCAGCATCGTCGTGTACAGCCTCCGGGATCGCGCTTTGGCCGTCGTATTTTGTTTATCATCGCGATTTGGAGTCACTACCTTCTTGTAAGTCGATAGTCCGGCTCGTTTTTTGGCTCGATGCACGGTTGTAGACGATACACCCAGCTTATTTGCGGCATCTCGGAGAGAGAGGTTAGGGTTTCGCTTGAAACTACCGGCAACTCTCTTTGTCGTCTCAGTGGCTTCCGGTTTTCGATTAACCCCCGATCCAGACTTCCTGGCTGTCGACAAACGTTCCCCAAACACTTTAATTACATTTGTAACGGTTGATTTGGCAACTTTTAGCGATTTTGCCAACTTTGCGTGCGAGTAGCTCGGATTTTCGCGATGCGCGAGCAAAATTTTGATACGCTGCTCTTCTTGCGTGGACGGCATTTTGACAACTGAAGGGTGAATTCCAAAATCAAAATAGGAGCAACATTCTACACACACACACACCTTCAAAATGAGGGGTGTTCAGGTTTTTTAAATGCAAAATTGAAAGAAATGCTAAAAATCATGGAAAAGCTTATAGATTAACACATAAAATCAAAAATTTTGAAAAGTTATCCTTTGAGCAGCCATCAGTTTGCTTATCAATCAGAAAAATGAACTATAACAGCGTTACACAAACTTGTTTCAAAAATAGAAAAATCGTTTGATGCAAAAGAAATTTTGCTTGTAACATTTCTCGATATTAAGGGAGCGTTTGACAAAGGATACACTTCTATGGCAAAGACAATGTCAAAGCGTCAACATACGTATCATAAGCTGGACTAGTGAAATGCTTTCAAAACGTGAAATTTCGGCTGAGCTCGGTAGCTCATCTATTTCAGTAAGAGCTGTTAAAGGATGCCCACAAGGGGGTGTTTTGTCTCCACTTCTGTGGTTATTAGTAGTAGATGATTTAATAACAAATCTAGAATCACAGAGTTTTGAAATAATTCGGTTTGCAGATGATATTGTAATAATTGTTCGGGGAAAATATGATGATGTCATTACAAACAGGCT